CATTTCCAGTCTGAGTTCTTCTGTACCTTTCTGCAGTTGTTTCTTTATTTCAGAAGCCATTGATTCATTGATTTCAGCTGTGTGATTCCCAATTTGCTCTGTTTTAGTGTCTTCTGCACTTGTTGTGGGTGGGCTTGGGGTCTGAGATTGCATTTTGCTCCTTCTCTTTGTCATTTTGTGTAGCACTGTCTTCTGACCTTTGTTGTAGAGCTTTGGTCCAGTTATAACCTTAGCACCTACTGAAGTTCAGGTGCAAATCTACAAAGATTGGATTTATCCAGTAGTGCCTCACTTTGGTCTGGCTGCTGTGCTCAGCTCCTTCCTGCTGCCACCCTTGGAAGTGAACCTGTTTTGCCCCTCTGCCAAGATGTTCTGCTCCTGGACTAGCTGGATGGTTCTGTCCCCTACACTCTTTGCAGGGATTGCAGCTGCAGGGTTTCACCTCAGGCCTGTATGCCAGGCCTCAGCTCAGTATGGAGGGGACAAGGTGAAGTATGGGGGAGAGGAAGCTCTCCCACACACCCCCTGGCCCTGGGCTAGGCCTGGATCCGGGGGTCCCCAGAATGCTACAGAAATTCTCACTATTTGGGTAGGGTGTGTTTGGGTGCTGCAGATTGGTGGGGGGGCGTCCCAAGGGGTGAAAGAGGGTCTCACCCAAGGTGCAGCTGGGCTTAGACTGGCAGGTTCCGCAGGCGCAGAGTAGCCATAAGCTCTCCCACATACTCACTCGGCCTGTGCTAGGACTGGATCTGGGGGTCCCCAAAACGCGGCAGAAGTTCTCACGCAGGGGGTGGGGTGCTGCAGAGCAGTTGGGAGGTTCCCAAGGGGGTGGAAGAGGGTCTTACCCATGCTGCGCCTGGGCCTGACCGGCAGGTCCCGCTGGCACAGCATATCCAGAAGCTCTCCCACACACTCCCTGGGCCTGGGCTAGTACTGGATCTGGGGGTTCCCGGAATGCAGCAGAAATTTCTTCTTGGCGGGTGGGGGGTCCTGGGCGGGGACGCTGTGGAGTGGTGGGCGGCATCCCAAGGGGGTGGAAGAGGGTCTCATCCATGCTGCGCCTGGGCTTGTATGGGTGGGTCTCGCCAGCGCAGGGTAGCTGGAAGCTCTCCCACACACTCACGGGTACTGGGCTAGGACTGGATCTGAGGGTCCCTAGAACGCAGCAGAAATTCTCACTCAGCGGGCAGGGTGGGGGTTGGGCTGCTACAGAGTGGTGGTGGGGGTCCTAAGGGGTTGGAAGCAGGTCTCACCCATGGTGCACCTGGGGTTGGACCAGCAGATCCCCAATAATGATAATTTAACTTCTTCCTTTCCTTTCTTTCCTTTCATTTCTTTCTCATGTCTAATTGCTCTGGCTAATGTCCAGAACTGTGTTGAACAAAAGAGGTGATAGTAGGCATCCTTGTCTTGCTCCTCATTTGAGAGTGACAGCTTTCAGTTTTTTACCATTTAGTATAATATTTTAGAGTTCCAATAACATGTTTAGTGATGATGTTGACCAGTGTTTTGTTGTTTGAACTGAACTCTAAAAGGTAAGTGTGGTCAATGAAGACTCAGGACATATGAGAACTTGTACTGTAACGTCATGTACCATGGTAGTGTCCCAAATTTTCTGATCAAGGAGATTATGGGGCCAAAGAGGAAAGTGATCGATGACGTAGAGTGTGCCTAAGGAGAGTCACAT